AAATTATGAGGGTTTCACATTTTTAATCACTTTTCTTCTATCTTCTATAGTAAACACAAATTACTCATTAATAAGAAAAAAAATCACCTTAGCAGATAAACCACAGGGTGGAAGTCAGATTGTCAAATGGGCCAGCTCCCCCCTTCCATGCTTTGTGTGTCTGAAATTAGCAGCATGCAGGGTGAGTTTCCAAACTGTGTACTTATTGCTTGTCATGTAAATTAAAGACCTTGTATTTAACACTTTTCCATACTTTTAGATAAACTTGTTCTTTGCAAGAATAATTGGTGTTTATTTTCCAAAACTTTGCTGTGAGCAGATGTGATGACAAGCAACAGCATTTATCTAATGAACTACAGCTGTCTTAATCGGGCTCCTCCAGTCTTCTGTTGCACTTGTAAAATGCTACAAGGAATATTAAAAAATCTATTCACTTTAACTTATAACAGCTTATGAAATAAAAATGAGTCATAAAAAAGAGAAAAAATCACAGTTCTTAAAAATAAAAGTGAGTTGGGGACTCTAGAACTGCCCATCACCCTGCCCAGAAGACACCCAAGGCCTGCTTCCTGCTGAGCTGTTCTGAGCTCCCTGGGACAGGGCAGAACATGGAGCAGCCATGATTCAAATAGAGGTGTTTAAAACTCAAGGTTCTTCTCTCTTCTTTATCTGACTGGGGCATTGATTACAAACAGCTGTTTGTGCTGAACCCCACGGAATGCTGTACCCCTCAAAAAAGCTAAAAACAACTCTAACTCCTGTATATATATATTTTTAAGTGCTTTGAGCTCAAAACAAAAGAAGCTCCAGTTTAAAAAGGGGAGGTAAGGGGAGGAAGGGTCCACCTTTCCTGAATTATCAGGTCTGGCCAGGTGTATGCAGCAGTCCTTTAAACCAGGTCAGCTCACCACCCCATGACTGCAAAGACAGCCACACCCTGTCCTCTGCAGAGTGGAGGTAACCATCTCTCTGCCCCAGGGCTGTGTGAAGATGAAGGGTGTCTGTCCATGGAAAAGCAGTGCAGCATCACCAGGAGCCCCGGTCCAGCCTCTCCTACACAGGATCCTGGAAGAGAACCCAGCCGCCTCCTCTGACCCCTATGGTGGGCCTGCTTGCTATTAAGCACATCCTGAGCTTCAGCCTCCCTAGCATCTCCAGCTTGGCACAACACCAAGGCATCAGGAACTGTTTCCAGTGAGCCCACAGATGGGCTCCAGTGTACAGGCTCTCCTCGAAGACAAGGGGTCTCTATTTAACTCTGGCCTCAGGAGAAAGATTTCCTCTTTTTGCTAGTCAAAGACTTTAAGCCAGCTGGGTGTCTGTAGCTCACACGTGTAATCCTAGATACTCAGGAGGCTGAGATCTGAGGATCATGGTTCTTCAAAGCCAGCCCGGGGAAGAAAAGTCCAAGAGACTCTGATCTCCAATAAACCACTAGAAAACCGGAAGTGGCGCTGTGGCTCAAAAGGTAGAGCACTCACCTTGAGCTGAAGAGCACAGGGACAGTGCCTAGGCCCAGAGTTCAAGCCCCACAACCAACCAAAAAAAAAAAAAAAAAAAAAGATGTTAAGCCAAATAAACTAGAAGCAAACTCTAAGGGCAAAATTATCATCAATGCTAATTAACATAGCTTCCTCTCTTGCTTCTCAAGGTCAGGCCTCCCTCCAGATGACTACAGGGTTGCTGGCAGGGTACATAAATTTAAAACCCTTCTAAGAAGTCTAGCCACTAACAGAAAAGGCAAAGGGCCCAATCCCAGCTAGCCACAACCAAGACCTCACAAAGCCAAAGACTGTAGTCCTCCCTCCCTCCATGTGTGAACCTGCCCATTCCTTTGCCTCCTGAAAGCCAATCTCAAGACCAAGGATGAAAATCAAAAGGAGTCTGACCTAGGATGCGAAGCTACCTCCCAAATTTCATGCTGCTTCCAAAAGTGAGCCTGCATGCTGCATTGCTTATTTGCACAGCAGGCAGGCAATGAGGCTGACAGACTGCAGGGCTATTTTAAGGGAATATGCTGCAAGTCTGGCTTGGAGAAGGCCCTGGGCCCTGTGCTCCCAGGACAGATCCCATGTCGCCCATCCCAGCAGAGTTAACCGCCTGTCAACCAGCAAACACAGTGTGTATATTCAGGTCCTCTGGACAGAGGGCCCACACCACCAAGCTGGCAAAGAGCTGGAGGAGCAAAGGAGAGGAGGAGGAGGAGGAGTAAACGGAGACAGAGGAGTAGGACCCTCCACTAATGAACTTTGGAGACATGCTCCAGGAAGCTGAAAACAAGGCAACACAGACAGAGGCTGGGAATATTAGCCTGAAGGTGACCAAGATCCTCACTCATAATTACAAAAGTGCACTTTTTAGGGCTGGGTTCCAATTCTTGCACTATGTACTCCCATTATTGGGCCACAGGGCAGCTCCAACTCCAGCTGAGAAAGCAAGCAGGTCCTCAAGTCCTTCATGAGGACTCTGAAGGCTTCTGGGTCATTCTGAGGCCTTCTCTACTCTCAGTAGCACAGGCAGTGAACATTCACATACAACACAGTTACACATTTATGTATTGTCACATTTACATACCTGTGTATACCTCTTTTTTTTTTATAATGGGCAAGGTAAGTATCCTCATTGGATTGCATTCCCAATTACAAACATTCTACTATGAAACCTGATTACCTGGTTGGCTGAGGCAGGAGGTATTGTGTTCAAGGCCAGCCTGACCTGCCATCACTGTAAATTAGTCACCAGCCTGGGCTATATAACAAGAATCTCTCAAAAAAAAAAAAAAAAGAAGCAAGTTAAAAATTAAAAGAAATAGTCTGGAGACTTGGTGTAAGTGGTAGAGTACCTGCTTAGCAAGCCCTGAGTTCAATCCCCAGTACTGCCAAAATCAAAAAGGAAGAAAAAAATCATCTAGGTGTCGGTGGCTACTCAGGTGGCTGAGATCCAGAGAATAATGGTTCAAGGCTAGCCAGGGCAGAAAAGTTCAATAAACTCTTTTTTTTTTTTTGGTCCAGTCGTGGGGCCTGAACTCTGGGCCTGGGTGCTGTCCCTCAGCTCTTCAGCTCAAGGCTAGCGCTCTACCACCTGAGCCACAGCGCCACCTCTGGCTTTTTTCTTTTTTTGCTTATGTGGTGCTGAGGAATCGAACCCAGGGCCTCAGGCATGCAAGGCAAGCGCTCTACCACTGAGCCATCTTCCCAGCCCCTCAATAAACTCTTATCTCCAAAATAGCCAGCAAAAAGTAAACCTGAAGGCATGCTTCAAGTGGTAGAGCAAGAAAGCAAACCATGAAATCATGAGGCTGTGACTCAAACCCCAGCACCACCAACAATTAATTGAAATAAAATCTGATTTTAGATCAAATGTCACCTTCTTGCTCTCCACTAGCTCTCGCTGTCTTTCCTCCTCCTCACTGCCCACCCTGTGTGATTTGTTTACAAACAGGACCACAAAGACAGAAGACCAAACTAGGAGGCTGCTTTCCTTACAAGTGAGCAGCACAGAATGCTGAAGCATGTGTGCCACCGCAGGCTGAAGGCCTCCACTCCTTCTCTCCTCTTGAACACATCCGCTGCTATCCATGCTAACTAGGTGCCAGGATTTCTCCAACTTGGATCTGGCATCTATTTTAAGGCCCCATAAACCAGTGTGTTGTTTCAGTGAACCTAAACTCAAGCATCACGAACCACTGAGCTTGCCCCTCCACCCCGCTGCATGCACACCAGACTCTCTTTAGGGAGGGCATATTCTAAATTAGCTCTGGACTTAAAGGACAAGGAACACCGAAAGCAGAATTTGAACCTAACACCAAACAACACGTCATACTGCTCTTCATAACTGTGAGTAATGCACAGGACAGATGAAAGGGCCCTGCTGCAGAATTTCTCCCATTACAGATTAGTAAGAAATACAAGACTGCTTTACAATTCCTTTCGGAGTGTTCATCCTTCTTGAACCAGCCCAGGCCCGATTCTCACTCATAACTGGCGCAATCTAGCACAATTCCCCTCCCTCTCTGAAACCTAAGAGGCTTGCTTACTCCTAGGTAGACTTAGATCTGGCATGCTCCAAGACACACAGTGAAATCACAGATGCTGGCTGCATAGGGCTGCCAAACCGGAGCTCTGAGCTAGAACAACCTTAGAGCTGATGTGGACAACAGCTGTCCAGGGCAGGAGGCCTGAATGACACTCCGGAAAATGAGATGTGTGCAAATCGCACGCTCAGCCGCGGTGCAAAGGATCACACTTTACAATTCACCCACCCAAAGCACTGCCCTGCTACCCCCATCCCCACCACGACCACCCTCACAGGCGTCCAGCCCCGCAGACCATTCCCTCCCAGCCCCGCAGCCTGCGGACTCCAGCAGGCCGCAGCGTGGCGATCTGGACAGCCGGGGTTCAAGTGCCAGCAATAAAGTAAAAGGAGAAAGAGGGCGGGTAAAGCCGCGTCGTGCCCGGCGCAGCCACTCCCCAGTTCTCCACTCGGCCGGGGGTCTGGGGAGGGGGCAGTGAGGGACGGCCCGGCCGGGGACCGCGGGCCGGCAGCAGAGGGTCCGGGGGCTGGAGATCCTGGAGGCGGGGCGGGGGCTGGGGACTCCGGGGCAAGACAGCT